TCCGTGAGAGTGATAGGGTGTAAACAATCCCAAGCAACAGATCAATTACCCCTTATGTATGTCATATGTGGTAACAGTCAAACTGTTCCTTCATTCCTTATGTTTATCATATGTGGTGACAGTCAAACTGTTCCTACATCCCTTATGTATATCATCTGTGGTAACAGTCAAACTGTTCCTTCATTCCTTATGTATATCATATGTGGTAACAGTCAAACTGTTCCTACATTCCTTATGTACATCCTTCGTGGTCCCAGTATCAGTGAGTGAGTATGGTTTTACGCCGCTTTTAAGCAATATTCCGGCAATATCAAAGAAATGGGCTTTACACTTTGTACAATCGAATCGAACCCGGGTCTTCGGCGTGACGAGCGAACACTTTAACCACCCGACCGCCCCGGTTCCCAGTATTGAAGCCAACCGTTTCAGTTATCCCTTATGTATATCATATATGGTCCTAGCATTAAAGCAAAACAAACTTTATGTCCTTCGTAATATAATATATCATTCGTGGAACAAGTATAAAGAACAAGACCCGTGAAGACCCGAGGTAGAATAGGTCTTCAGCAACCCATGCTTGCCGTAAAAGGTGACTAACGGGATCGGGTGGTCAGGCTCGCTGACTTGGTTGATGCATGTCATCGATCCCAATTGCGTGGATGGATGCTCATGATATTAATCACTGGATTGTCTGGTCCATATTCGAATATTTAGAGACCGCCGTCATATAGCTGGACTGTTACCACATATGCAATGTTAGGCAAGGAAATAGCCCTCCAAAACAAAAATACCAAAAACCGACCTAAATTAATAAATCAAATACTTAAAAGCTCCAACGACCTAACTAAGGCAGGCAAACAAATTACCTTCTTGTGGATACCCGCCCACGTAGGAATATACGGTAATGAAAACGCCGATAAAGCAGCTAAACTATCCCTCAAAATCCCAGAAATAAGCTAAAACTTACCCATCTCAAAATCAGAAATTAAAAGTGTAAACAAGCAAAAAATCACCAAAAAATGGCATAACCTATATCTAAACTCAAATAGCCAAATCAAAAAAGTACTCAGCAAACCACTAGCCAAACCAAAAAGTCTCCATCCATCAAAAACAATCGACAGAGTAATCACTAAACTCCAAACAGGACACACCAACCTAAATAACCACCTAATTTAAAAAAAAAAAAACACACTACAGGTAACTGCCCACACTGCAAACAACTAGAAACCCCAGAACACGCACTCATCCACTGCACACACTACCTAACACATCGAACCGCATTACAAACCAGCCTCAATCTAAACAAAGCTCTCACTCTAGAAGCAATACTAAACCCACAAAATAAACTAGAAAACTTCAAGGCCTTAGGCGTATTCTTAATCAAAACGGAACTAATAAAACGCATCTAAAAACACAATAATCTACCAAATCAAAATAACATAAACAAACAAACATCCACCATACCCAGCCCCCTTAGTTCTCCTCCCCAACCCCATCGGCATCTATTCCAAATCTCAAAATTCCCAAATTCTATATAAGCAACCCCTAAAGCCCCCTCTTGGGTTGCACAGACCACTTTCGCCCCTTTCGGAAACACATTAAATGGCCTGGCCGGGCCCGTGTGCGAAATACGCATAAGTCGGAAAGCGCACGTTAAATCTTCAAAGTAAGTAAGTAAAGTAAGTAAGTAAGTAAGTAAGTAAGCAAGCAAGCAAGCAAGCAAGCAAGCAAGCAAGCAAGCAAGGAAATATTTCTGGAAATAATGCCCAGTAATATAAATTTCTAAAATTCTTTAATAGCAAAGGGAACAATTCAGCACATGTCTGATAGATGTCGAAAATTTCATCCGGAATCGAACCCTACACTTATTGTTTTCTAAGTCCAACTTGTTGCCATGGAAACATAAAAATATTTTTTTCTAAAATTCCTAAATAGCAAATTAAAAGGTAACAGTTCAGCACGAGTCTAACAGACATGCAAAGTTTATTAGAGAAATATTTAACGGTTTCTGAGTTATGCTCCGGAAAAGATTTCGGTACGCACGCACGGACGGACGTCGACGGAACCGATTTCAATATGCCCCCGCCAACTTCGTTGGGGCGGGGGATACTAATAGTATGCAGTCCCTGACAAACCCATTCATTTCATTTTCAATCATATAATGGATGTCAGGATGTATAAATATATTATTTTACATTATATATTACTGTTTGTTTGCTGGTTTTTTGTTTGTTGTTTAACGCCGCACTCAGCAATATTCCAGCTATATGACGGCGGTTATTACATTATCACATATACCAGTCATATGTGCAAAATTTATTTTGGAAAATGTTATGAACTGTTCTGGAATATGATAGTATCTGAGTCTATGGTTTTAATCATTTGAAGAATGTGCCAGAGATGGTTGAGCCTCAAACTAACATCACCAGAAAGCACTGAATAATGGTTCGTATCCCATTCTCAGAAGGGTAGAACTATTTACTAGGCTGTGAAATTAGGGTATAATGCTGTTGCTCTTTTTGTGAAGTCTTGTTAAATCATACTTCATTCGCCAGATCGCCGTCGTCTGTCGTGTAGTTATACATATTATTTATATCATCATCTTTAGGGATTGGGGCGATAATACCAATTGGAAAATGCCCATTTTTTAATATCAAATTATTTATTACTTCTAAATATGTAACTGATAAATCTGAAGATTTTTTCAGGAATAGTACCATCTATACCAGCTGCCTAGTTACATTTAAGATGATATGTGCTACCTGAAATGCCATCGGAACATTGGGTTCTGTATCACGCTGAGCGGATGTACGTCGGGTGATGAGAAAAGATTTCTAAAGTGTTGATACCAATCAGTGGTGGTAATATTATTTCTCCATACATGCTTTCCATTTAAACTTTTGATAACAGACTAGAATATTTTAGAATCATATAAACTACTTTCCAAACACTGTTTTTTGATAACATACATTTCTCTTTTGTCTACGGGTAGCAATGTTTTTTTTCTAATGCAATTGTATTCATCAAGAGAACTATCGGTTTTTTTAATCTATTTAGGAATGTGCATCTCTCCCTTTTCAGTCTCTCACACTCAGCGTCAAACCATTTATAAACATTAACATCTGATTTTAAATTTCAGGTTTGTCGTTTCACATAATATAACTTCTACAATACATGTATATTGGAATGTTGCCCGCCCTGAAAGAAAAATTAATAGCTGGAATATTGCTGAGTGCGTCGTCAAACAACAAACAAAGAAACAAGTCATCCCTCTTGTCTTGTGTGGAACTTTTGTCGCTCTGATGCTGTATGCATCAATCTTAATATGAAAAAGATGAGGCGGTGTGAGTGGTCCCTTTTTTCTAAATCAGCGGAAGGGAATTGACTATTGACGTTTATTGAACAATATCACATCATAGTTATTCCTGAAGCTTAAGGTAAATGGTCTTAGACACTCCCACAAATAACCATTCATATGCATTAAGAAACAGATGAGCAAAGATGTAAGCACAATTGGTGCCCAAGGGAGGCCTATTTTATTTCGACCCGTGAAGATTCCGGGGTAGTATAGGTCTTCAGCAACCCATGCTTGCCGTAAAGGGTGACTATGCTTGTCGTAAAAGGCGACTAACGGGATCGGGTGGTCAGGCTCGCTGACTTGGTTAATGCATGTCATCGATCCCAATTGCGTGGATGGATGCTCATGATAACAATCACTGGATTGTCTGGTCCAGACTCGATTATTTACAGACCGCCGTAATATAGCTGGAATATTGCTGAGTGCGGCGTTAAACAACAAACCAACCAACAACAAACCTAATTTATTTCCTTTCTACAAGGATTATAACGTGATGACCGACAAACTGACTTGTATAGGTTTTTCAAGACGGCAACTGGCCTATGAAAAAGCTATGTTCTTCAATGTCTCATAACCGTGCGTGTTCACGTAGAAACAAAATTACTGTTAATAAACATTTTTTGCATTTATTATGTCAATATGGGTAATCAATCCCGGAAATTTCATTTGGAATCTCCGATTGAACATTATCGGCACAAAGAGCATCCCCTAATACGCTAACTGGCTTGCTGAAATGAACTGTGGAACAGCTAAGTTATCGCATATATTGAGAACTTTCATGGCCTCGAGGGGGGTCCTGGGTTAGAAGTGACCCCCATCAACATATTGTTGTCGTAAGAGGCGACATAAGGGATAGGGTGGTCAGGCTCGGGGACTTGGTGAATTAATTGTCACAATGATTGTACCCGAACGGCGTGAATCGTTGCTCATAATACCAATCACTAGTTTATTTTTCAAGACTCTAATATTTATAGGCCGCCGTCATACAACTGGAACATTGGCGTCAAAAACAACCCCCCCCCAAAAAAAAAACAACACAACAGTACTTGTATGATTCGTCTGTGGGAAACGATTTTTGTTTGTTTGTTTGTTTGTTTGTCGTTTAAAGCAGCACTCAGCAATATTCAAATTATATGACGGCGGTCTGTAAATAATCGAGTCTGGCTTAGACAATCCAGTGGTTGACATCATGAGCATCGATCTACGTAACTAGGATACGATGATATGCATCAACCAAGTCAGCCAGCCCGACCACACGATCCCTTTAGTCGCCTCTGACTACTCGCAGGGGTTGCTGAAGACCAATTCTAAGTTGGATCCTCAGAGCTGAGAAGCACCAGATTCGCCCAGGCTCCAATCTTTGTTCCGCCCTGGTTGTTCCTCAAGTATAGTCACCTATTACGGCAAGCATGGGTTGCTGAAGACCTATTCTACCCCGGATCTTCACAGGCGTGAAGCGACTACTACACAACATGTCTGTATGAAAAACATAAACATGCGATAAGGTTTCTATATTGTAGTCAGTTTCGTTCCATAAGTAATTTCTTTGAACAATATATTTGGTCGAACATTGCAGAAATAATGAAGCTGTTATACATGTAATTATAAGTTGTGAAGAACTTACTGAGAAGAAGCTACTCACCAAAGCCAAGCTTCAATAACAGTGACTTCGTTTTGACACAATCTGTTCTGCAGATGGTATTCCCAAATGCCACAAAGACAGGCACTGAAATGGGATTAATTATAATAATCTAGATATTAGTCTGCAACCACAGAACACACGCGCTGACGTCACAATAAACAGGACGTTATGAATAATATTAAACACTATAGCTAATGGTCATTGTGGCCAGCATTTTGCTGCGAATTATTAAAATTAACACGCGGTTAACTCAGAGAAGCGATTGTCTTCCTGTTGTAAACATATCATTGAACATGAGTAGGATGCAACAGAACATCGACAAAGACTACAAATGATATAATTAATCTCTTAAAGAATAACACGATCATGTTTGTTCAGCACATTGTATCAACAATCTTAGTTTCCATGTCGAGGAAATTGCATGTTCTTGTCTGCTGAATTATTTCCGTTGATAACGTGATGCCTTTTCATCAAGAATCAATATACATTAAAGTTGTTTTTGTTGTTGTTGTTTCTTATAAAATAGCATCATATCCCATGACGTTCTCGCCATAGTGTTCCTTATTATAAATCGGCATTTATTAATTTGTTTGAATAAAAAAATGTGTTACTTGTACAGCATCAAAGTTGTATGCAAACACTAATAAATCAATACATTGATCGGTGCATAGTTCGTTATTGTTTTCATGGACAACACATTCACCATTGACACCATGATCACAAGGGAGGTTCCAGACTGTGTTTAACGAAGCGTCACTCAGATGAATAAATGTTATGTTCAGACAGTTCCCCTGTCAGCGAAACTGATGTTGATGTGTGTCTGTTTCACCAATACCAACCGTGTCAAAACTACCATTTGCGAGTTGCTCTCCGCTTACGCTGCTTATGTATTATTTAATGAAACCGACTGCTTTTTACCATTGCGTAATAAGCCAAATTCGCGCTTGCCCGTGGAGAGATTGAGCTCTGTTTAACGTCGCGTTGATCAATGTTTACGTGTGCAAGGCGTCAGCTGGATGTGTGTGTGTGTGTGTGTGTGTGTGTGTGTGTGTGTGTGTATGTGCGTGTGTCTGTGTCTGTGTATGTGTGTGTATGTGCGTATGTGTGTGTATGTGCGTGTGTCTGTGTGTGTGTGTGTGTGTGTGTGTGTGTGTGTGCGTGTGTGTGTCTGTGTATGTGCGTGCGTGCGCGCGCGCGCGCGTGTGTGTGTGTGCGTGTGTGTGTGTGAGTTTGTGGAGGGGTGTGTGTGTGTTTGTGCGTGTTATTCGTGAGTGAGTGACTGTGTGCGTCAGTGTGGTTTTACGCCTCTTTTAGCAATACTCCAGCAATGTCATGTCGGGGGACACCGGGAATTGGCTTCACACGTTGTACGCACGTGGGGAGTTGAATCCGGGTCATTGGCGTGACCAGCGTACGCTTAAACCACCAGACTACCCGACCGCCGTGTGCGTGTGCGTGCGTGCGTGCGTGCGTGCGTGCGTGTGTGTGTGTGTGTCAAAGGTGTGTTAAGGCGTTGCAGGACAGACCACCACCCCACTTTTAAACAGTGATATGGACGACATCAGTTTAGGATCTCTTGGAGAAACTCTTCAGTTATCACTAAATGTGGGGAATACCTGAAGTGAAACCAACGAAGGCGGGCCAAGGATTGGAACCTGGGCGAATCTGATGCTGCTCATCTCGTATTCATATGGATGGGTCTTTCCATTTGAGAATGATATATTGACAATAAGACTGCATGATCATCCAATTTATCCGGGTTAGGACTGGTCTTTTAAAAGCAACCCCTGCTAGTCGTCAGAGGCGACGAACGGTATCGGGTGGTCAGGCGCGCTGACTTGGTTGATACATGTAATCGGTTACCAATGGCGTAGATCGATGCTCATAATGTCAATCACTGGATTGTCTGGTCCAGACTCGATTATTTACAGACCGCCGTCAAGTAGCTGGAATACTGCTGAGTGCGGCGTTAAACAACAACAACAACAACAAAAAGAACCAAAAAAAGATGTCACTGTGAGTATACACACGCTTATGTCACCCCTCCTTTTGGGAAGCTACTTGATTCCACGTTACAGCTGGTGGGTGTATGGCTGTCAGTGTAAACAAGAAGTCACACGTACTAAATATAATTGTGTATAGATCTACATCCTTCGACCGTCACACATTTCGACCCACACGTTACGAAGGTTCATACTCCAACGAACTCATACAAAGTGAAAGCCAATTCTTAAACAACACACACGAATAGGAAAATACATAAATGAAAACGTTAAACCCCCAAATTAAAATATTACAGAATGTTCATCTCATTCTACCATGAGAGAATTAAACGCGATATTAAGGGGGCGTTTCAGTGGGTTTTCGGTCTAATTAAGGAAACACCGATAATATCCACTGAAAAAAAGTATAAAGTTGTACATCATCAAACACACATCCCAGCGTTTGAAAAAAATGTTAAGCACAGCGTAACGTAAGGCACCCCGGCCCTAATGATAATTAAGCAAGCCTCGAAATATTTATTTCCACAACGCACGTCACTATTATGACGTCACACCGCTCACGATGACGCAGTACATGTGACGTCACAGCCAGCTATAGAAAAGCGCTAACTTTCAAGCTATTTGATACTTGAAATACACTCCCTTGGTCGATTTCTACTGTGATTCTGTCCCAAAATATTTTGCCACACTTGAATATTGTAGTATCGGCAACTCTGCATTTTGTAACCTATAATTGTACTCATAATTATGAAAAGATACGGAAGGTGACTGAGAAAGAACTCCATTTCCCACGATAAATCGGCTGTGTCAACCAGATTTTGTTTTAGTTTTATATGTTGTTTTACGCCGCTGTATGACGGCGATCGGTACAGAATGGTGTCTGGACCAGACAATCACAGTCATCACGAGCATCGATCTACGTCAATAGCAATCGATGACATGCATCAACCAAGTCATCCGAACCCGCATGTCATCTCTAACGATAAGCATGGGTTGCTGAAGCCCAGTTCTCACCCGGATCGAGGGGGCACGGGTGGCCCAGTCGTCTAAGGCGCCGCGATTCGCTGTGCAGAGTTGCGTCCCTTGGGCACGCCAGAAACCTATGATTGTGGGTTCGAATCCCGGTTCGCCCCGATTATGTTTCTAGGTTTGTCAGCACCATACCCCTGCTCGTGGGTTTCACCGAAGTGGTAAACGTCTGAGACCTGCATCACTTCGGGCTTTCCTCCCACATTAAGCTGACACGCCGCTATATAACTGGAATACTGTTAAAAGCGGCGTTAAACCCAACTCACTCACTCACTCTCACCCGGGTCGTCACGGGTTCAATCAGAGGTGGTAATTGTGATTTGATGGCTTTGAATGACGAATCAGATTCTAATAATTTTCATCGTAGAATAATCATAACATCAGATATGTCTGGGAACATGTGTTTGCGAGACTGAATACGTTCCCTTGGGGTATTTTAATAGTGAAGATGTCAAATGAATGATTATGTATTGATTTCGACAAGATGTGATGCAGTGTAACAGATAATCAATCAAAATTTATTGTATCGACAATTGTCATCGACATTACAGGATCTCCGCACGGAAAGGTTTATATAACAGATTCATGAATAAATAAAAGATATCGTGCTTTATTCCTATGAGGGATAAATTGCAGTTCCATACATATGACAGATGTTTCCACCATTCGTCAGGGTTACATCTCTGTGTATGTTAAGGGGTCACACTGAGTGCCATGTAACTCCTTTGTAAAAGTCAATAGGTATTTTTTCAATGCCCATGTGATATTGATGCATGCTAACCCACACTTTATTAACTTCCTGGAAATACATGTGAACATCTGTACGTCACCTTGTCATGCTCATCCGTGTCTTTATCACGAGTCACCAGCAACCCATGTTTGCCGTAAAAGGCGACTAACGGGATCGGGTGGTCAGGCTCGCTAACTTGGTTGATGCATGTCATCGATCCCCATTGCGTGGATCGATGCTCATGTTGTCAATCACTGTATTGTCTCGTCCAGACTCGATTATTTACAGACCGCCGTCATATAGCTGGAATATTGCTGAGTGCGGCGTTAAACAACAAACAAACCAAACTACTTTATCACAAAGTTTGTAAACAAATGAAATATACCTCACAGGACTCAGAGAAGCTACAGGACAATTCTCACCCGTATCACGGCGTCAACACAACACACAAACATATAAATAAACATTTTAATTTTTTTTTTGTATGTTCGAATCTATGGTTTAGTGAGTAGTATGCAGTATGTCAATAGTGCATGTTTGTGTAAGATTAATACGTCGTTATTGGAGTAAAAATATTGTTCTCAAATGATTTGGCTTCCAATTAAATTGGTTACTAGGATACGTTGTAGTATAGTTTAAAATCCAGGATTTGTTTGTATGAAACATTTATATTATTAAAGAATTTAATTATTTTAATTTCACCATGATCACAAAACAAGAAATACTTAACTGAATTAATTCTACTCACCAAAGGCATATGACTGTGATGAAAATCAAACAATTAACTGACACTTGGAAAACAAAAACAAAAAGAGTCATACGACTCTTACTCAGGAGTTGTTTGATCAAGGTTACAACATTCAAGGTCCCAATAAAGCTTTAAAAACCTTTTACTATTAGACATGTGGAGAAATTTCAAACTTTGACGCATCTGTGACAAAATTTATGCCCGATGCAATTCCCTATTTTGACCTCTACCATCTGTTCCGGTGTTTATTCAGGTGAACAGTTGACTTGCCTTTGCATGTGTTTGTGATGGATTCCCCACCCTGTTCTCGAACACCTGGTACCATCACTATTTGATAGTGATTCATAAACACATGCTCATGATATAGTTGGAATCGTACAATCGACTCTGTTTTTGCAGAGATTCCTTATGATTTATGGAAAGGGTTTTGTTGCTTTTATATACAGTGTACGAAATGGATGATTCAATAAACAGCTGGGCAAATCAATATGTAAATACTTCAAAATTGGATTTGACCAAAAAACGTTACAAACGACTGACAGATGTTGTAGTTTCAACAAGCGTAGTTAAGAATCCATC